TTTTTTTGTGTGTAGAAAAAGACCCCCTGGGCGTGTGCCCGGATATGACCTCAACTTCTTTATTGTGTCAAAAGTGGGAGGTGGGCCTTTGCCTAGGCTAAGTACGGATAAGTACGATATGACAAAAAGCAAATAAAAATCGAAGTCACCCAAAAAATTTTTCATGGAAAAAATAAGTGTGTGGTTTCCTCAGAGCGTTAAACCATACTGTAGTAGACATATTAAATTAGAAAATCAAGAAATACATAATATTGAGTTTTTTCTTTGAAATTTGAAACTAGCCAGGCACAAAGAACAATTTAGCAAAATTCCTGTCCCAAAATTGTTAAATACTGTGTGTGCAGTCAATTGACTGAACATGAAAATCAAAACATGTTTCAATCCCACCAGTGACTGTTAGCTGACCAACCTCGGACAGTTGCACTTACATGATCGATTATAATTGACTGACTACAAAATAATTGTGCCTTAGTCTAGTGTAAACAGATCAAAGCGAACAGTAAACAGTTCTTTCATAGAATCACTCATTTGCATTATTTTTAGAAATTTGTCATGTGATTTGACGATCATCTCGCAATTCATTTGACTTTGCATTTGGATCGTAATTGCATATCTCCCCAATTAATACTTGAAGATTATAATAATTACTTATCAATGTATTTTATATTTTTATACCTTTAGCTTCAAAAGAACTGTTTATTAATTCTTTATAATGATACAGTACTAAAAGAAGTGGTAAGTAAAAACACTTGGTTGGACACAAATTGGAAGTAGTGTCTTGTATAAATGTCCATTCGTATGTCTGGTTTTTGTGTCTGTGTCAAAATTTATTAATCGGCCATTTTTTTATTTTATCATTTATGGGTGATCAGCAGTCGTTTTGGATGTACATTATGCCTCAATTGAAAACTTTGATATAGTTCTAAACTAGATCCTGGAGGTAACCAGGTCTGTTTCAGTCAAACTTAGTTGGATGACATTATTGGGTTTGTGATCTGATCGAAGATATTGCTGATTGACAAACAGATTTTTTTGATTTTCAGAAATTTAACCGATTCCGGGTGGCTAGCCTTTGTATGCAGTGCTTACATACATATGACGATAATCCAATGAAAACTATGGCTGTGTATATTTTATCAGAAGCAGCCTTGAAAATAAATACAGAAGAAATAGAACAATTGGCAGTCCAGTCGAATATGAAGGTAAAACTTTTGTTATTATCAATTGTTCAAAAAGAATGGGTGAAACTTTTATTAGGAATGCAGCTTCTAATAGAGATTTTACGGTACCATTGTACAGTAAAGATATGATTTCATAGA